GGCTGACTAAGGTGGCGCCAGTCACCCATGATGGCAGGTGAGACAAGAGGGTGCTCTTGGGGCAGAGCTGGCATAGTCGCAGAGCTGCCAGGGGCATCACAGCCACCCATGGTGACCCTGACCCAAGACAATTCTTCATTAAGAAGGTTCAGTGGAACATCTGAATTTTCTTGATTCCCTTTAAGTTTTAGTTTCAGATATCAACATTGTATGATTGGACTGATTGCATTCATTGGTCATCTCTTCTTAGCAACAAACAGTGATTAAAATATTCATTTTGGTTCAAATAGCCTTTTTTGGCACCCTTTGTTGTACAGTCTATGAGGTGTCCCTGGCACCTCTGCGGACTCTGTAGATGTCACCTGCAAAATCTGAGAGAGAATTTTAGGATAATGACTCAAGTGCCATAAGGGTTTTTTAATAATATATTTAGATAAGAACAATGATAAAATAACAACATCACCCTCTTTAATGGGTATTTTAGTCTTAATAATTTGATCATTTTTTCCCCAAAGAGTCATCCCTCTTTTTATATATACGTTCTTGTATGAATCTTGAATCCAATCTTAACATGGTTTTCAGTGTACTCCTGTGCAATATGTTTTTGTCTTGCTTTTGTACTGTATATGGCTAATGGATAGATTATATAGCAGCTGTTCATGCTTTTTTTTTCTTTTCTAGAATTTGCCTTTTTATTCATAGTCTTTCTTACTTCCCTTTCACAAGATACTTATTCACTCTAGATTTGAACTATAAATGCTCAATATTTACATCTACATTTTAAAATTTAATATTTTGTAGAATCTGTTGGGAACACATTTGATGCATCTTATCTATTCAGGCCCAAAGTACCAAGAAAAATGTCCGACACCACTGTGGATGTAAACCGGACTGCTGTCTTGCATGGTAATCTTTTCATAAAAGTGTATCACAGAGTTTGTTTTCTGGTCTCAAGTACTGTAGGTGCAACTGAAACATTAATCATTCCTTACCATCTATGAAAATTATTTGGGGATAATTTAGTTTATCATGGTGTCTTAATTAATCTCACAAAGAAGTTGACAATTGTTTTACCCACTTACCCTTTTATATTTTGATATACAATGATACAGTATTCTATAGGGTTTTTATTGATTTGATCAGTGCATAATTAGGAAACTTTTATGCTTTGCATTTAGTTATTTCATCTGGGTGTAATATACAGGAAGAGAAACTAGCTCCTTCAGAGTGGGACCTTAAGCAATGCAAGGAACCAGTATATCAAACATATCATGAAAGACTGGTTCTTTGTTTGAAGATCCACACTTGGTGAAGACATATATGTAAAAGTGTATGGGATCAAGATAACAAAAAATACTACAGTGATAAATGGACCTGCTTCTGCTTTTACCTGATTTGATTTATATGGCATATGTATGAGATGTCAAATTTGTGGAATTTGTAGGAACATGCACTCTTTAGAAGTGTTAAGTTGGCAAAAAAACTCAAAATGGCTTCTACAGGAAGAGTCACAAGGACAATGTCTAATAACTTGAATGGGGCAGATTTTTAAATTTGGGAATTTCTAAACAGTTCCCTGCCCTTATGTATGCATGCACACTATATAACCCCTTTAGCTCCAAATAGATAGACTACGAACATTGCCAAGCAACATGATATTGGGTCTGGAGAAGACTTCAGCTAATTGCTCTTGTAAATCAGCAGGGAATTGTCCAATTGGAGTACAGGATTGTCAAGAGTAAGGAGTCTAAAGGATTACTGCACTTCTCTCATATCACCCCATATCCTTGGAACAGGCCTCCTCTTCACCTGCCTTCTCTTCCTTCAAATCTGTCTCTACTGCATACTTCACGGTAATGTCAAATCTTTCCTGCGCTCATTTCCTCAGTAACCTGATTGTTGGTTGCTTTACTCTCTAACCTTCTGCATTGCATGAATCTGAATGAGACTGTAAATTGTTTGAGTCGGGACCTCCCTCTTGATGCCTTCTAACCTACCACATGCATTTGCACATACTTAACAAACAGCTACATATTGTTAAGAAGAAACAACCAAAAAAAAAAAAAGCTACTAACTGCTAACACTTCAACTAATGTTTACACATACTTAACAAACAATGACATATGGAAGTGGTGGCTACAGTTGTATCCCTCTTAAACAGGAAAGCTTGTTAAACTAGAGGAACAACACCAGGGCCAGGGTGGGAAAGATTTCTTTTTTCAATGTTGCCTTTCAACCTTGATTGCTACGGGTTTCTCCATCGTACTCAATCGCACCTATTTGATCTAATCAAGTGCACTCATCATCCCTGTAGTAGGGGAAGGGTATTTATTACCACTAACACCTTGTTAACATCTCCCCAAAGTACTAAGGTGGTCCTTTTCACCTAGTCCCTGAACTGGTAGCTCTCAACCTTTTTAGACTCGAGGCATCCCTCTAAAAATGCCAGCCCTTAAGTTGTCACTCTTTTTTGTATTTGTTTTTTTGATACAGAAACACAACAGAGCAATTCTTGCGTTGCCAATAAGTCTGGGGACAAGAGGTCAGAAAGGAAGTCCCGGGACTGAAAAACAATTTGAAGCCTCCGCGTTGATCCCATGAACCCTGTTCGCAGACCCAACAGTGCTAATGCTGCGTGGCCCCTCGCCAAGCATCTCGGGGGACCGGCATAGCTGTGCCACCCGTCCCGGAGGCCCAAGGCATAGTGTGATGAGCCTCCCGGCTGGGTTTGTGCTGCCCTGCGAGCAACGCGGGCAGGGGCCAGCCTGAGGGAGGACGTTAGTTGTCCCTGTTCATCTGGCAGGGCAGAGACCTCCTTCATAGACTGCGAAGCACTGAGCTGTGGGGAACCCAACTTCCTTTCATCAGGGGCGGTGCAAATGGCCCCTGTTGAGTGGTGCCCGACTCTGGAAGACATTTGAAGACGGCCCGAGCCCGGGGCGCCCTCCAGGAGCGTCCTGGCCGGGGGGAGGGCGGCGCGGGTTGGGCCCCTGCTGCCCCCGGGGGGGGCCCGGGGTGTTGCCCCGTCGCGTGGGCCTCGCCGGCCACCGTCCCTCCGCTTCAGGTGAAGCGCGTATCCCTCCGCCGCGGCCCCCACCCCTCGCTGGGCTCGGACGCCCCAGTGCCCGGATGGAAACTGTGAAGGGCGC